AGCCCACGGCCCAGTGGGGAGCAGCAGCTCATGGGAGTCGGGGGCTTTGGTCCCTTGTTGGCCATGGGCTCACTCTCGCCCTCTGCACCGGAATCACGGCAGTGGGATACGGCGATGGGAGCTGGAGCTGCCCATAGCCCCCCGGCTGCCCCAAGGCTGTGCTGGGGACACACGATGGCCTTTGGGGAAGCACCTGGCACCGCTCTGGGGGGCTGCCATGGAGACCTCCCAGCATAAAGCTGCCTTGTGGAAGCATCTCGATCTACAGGTTTCAATCAAGCATGGTGGGACACACATGCAAATCACCCAGCGCTGGCCTCGCTTGGCCTCTGGGGACGTGGCGGCCACCCGGCAGAGGTAGTGGTGGTCTGCACTGCACTGCCATTGCATGCACATCCCACCATGTGTCTCCTCAGAGCAGGCCCCCCAGGGCTCCCCATGCTCAGACTGGCCCCCACGGCTCCAGCTGCAATGCAAGGGCTTGGCACCCCGCTGCCACGCCGGCTGCAGTGGAGCCCCACCGTCCCTGCAAACCTCTCCCCAGAAGAAGCCAAACCTGGAGCTGGCCAGGGGCACTCGGCCGTTCTTGGCCCGAAACCACAGCTCTCGCCCTTCCCGAATGGAGGGAGGCAGAGCAGGAGCGGGAAGCACCTGGGTCTCCTGCAGAGGGTCTTCTCCATCGTTTTGATGTCCACACAGCTGTTCATGCAAGCACAGTGGGTCTGGTCATCTCGCCCTATCAGGCTCCGGTGTCACCTCCATGCAACGTTCGAGGTTGCCCACGTGAACCCAAGGGAAGGACGGCAGCAGCGATGCTGCGGCTGGTGATGCGGCCGCCGGGGAAGGTCCCAGGTGTGATGGTGGCTTTGCACCTGGAAGGGATGGTGGGTGGAGGTGATGGGACATGCAGCAGAAGGGAGCGATGCTGAAGAACGAAAAGAACCATCCGTGTCTTTAACCTCTTCCCCTGGAAGCTATTGGGACTGTCTGGAAACCCTTCCACAGCCATCAAAGGGTATTTCAGCTTAAAAGAGAACAAAGAAACCAAAACCAAAGGTTGCGTAACTGAGGTATCAGTAGCTCTGGGTCGCTTCGACTGTCCGCAGTGCCGTGCCGCGCTGGCTGGCAGATCTTCCTATTTGTTTTTCCCGAGAGCTGCATCTACTTCTTCCTCTGGCTTCAGCGAGTGCCACTGGGCAATGGGCCGCCGGGGGTTGGCCAGCATGTCGGACCAGTGCCGCAGCTCCGTGCCGGTGGCGTTGCAGCCCGTGAAGATCTTGCCGATGGCTTCGTTCTTCCCCAGCTTGTCGTAGTCCAGCACCGTGATGACCACCTGCACTTTCTAAAGGAGGAAACCTTCTTTAGAGGGGTGGAAAGGAGCAGCGGCCGTGATGGCTCCACAGCCTCCATGCTGTCCCCAGCCCCGGGATGGTTCGGCAGGGCGCTCCAGGGATCCCCCAAGGCTGAGCCCCGCCGTGGCCCGTTTTGGGGCAGGGTCCCCTCCATGCCCGTAGCTTCCTCTGCTTCCTTCCCAGAGGATCCCAGGATGGCAGAGCCATGGTGGGGGACCTGCTCATCCTGCCGTGGCCACCTGGGAAAGGGGACCAAGGGGTGGTGTGGGGCTCGGCAAGAGCTGCGGGCTACAGGGCTGGGCTGGAGCAAGGGGCACGTGCAGGGGCTAGGGCAGGACATGGAGGGGCAGAAGGCACCTACCAATGGTCTAAAATGCCCCTAGGAACACCAGAGGGTCCCTGCTACACCTGGGCTGAGCACGATAGGGCCAGGAGCAGAGGAAAGCTCCACTTCTGCTGTGAGCTGGGGTTGGGGGTTGCATATCCCATGGGTGCTGCCCAGCCTCCCACCTCTGTCCCTGCACCAGCTGCCCTCAGCATCAGCCCAGGCCCAGGTTGGGACTGGACATATTTTACGGGTGACCAGACCAGAAGCTCGGCAGGAGCCGCTCAGGCTCACATGGGCTCCCAGCCGCTCAGGCTGGGGCATGGGCTCGGGCAGCTGCGGGACTTCTCCCATCGCCCCCACCCTGCCTGCCTGCCTCCCAGGGAACCCATCGGACGAACCTGTATCTGCTCAAAGGGGATCTCAAAGCTGAAGGACTCGTTGAAGTAGGGGTTCAGGGTCTTCTTCTTGACTGTGGTCTTCTTCTTCTTCAACCTCTTGCCATTCTGCAGCAGGTGGATCTTCACGTAGGGATCTGGTGGGGCAGGAGGGTGCATTAGCCAGGGCTGAGATGCCCAGGAGAAGTCTCAGCCCAGGATGAGGTGCACCGTGGGGTGAGGAGGCCTCCATGAGTAAAGGTGCTCTGAGGTTTGTGGATGGAGGTCAATATTTGGGCTGGAAAGGATTTGTGGGAGTAAATGGCCAAGGGATGGAGCTCTTCTGCATCCTGTGGGTCTCCTTGTAGGAGGGCTGGGGACAGAGGAGTGACACTGGCAGGTGCTGGCCTGTCACCCCCGTTTCTGGAGCAGGACACCCCAGCAATAAAGCTGAACCCTTCCAGCCGTGCAGATACTGCTCTTCTCCTGGTTAAGGCAGGTCTGGAGAGAGCTGAGGACAGAGAGCTCAGCCCTGGGATGGAGATGGGAAGACTCTTCTAGCATAAAACACGCTGTTGACTGAGGTCCTCAGCCTCAAGTCGAGGAGGAGCAGGACCAGAAACAAATGGCAGAGGAGCATTTTCACCACCCAGGTCCTGCAGCGTCCTAGCCCTGGACCCAGTGGCAGACCAAATTCGGTATGTCCTTCCTAAGGGTCAGGGGGCTCATCCCATCCCCATCTCCCCTCGCCCCAAAGCCACACCTTGGGCTGCCTCTGATGCAGGAGGTCCCAGGCACTGGAGGGGACTTCCCCGAGCCCTGCCAGGCTGATGGCCCCAGCGTCCTTCCGCAACAAAGGATGCCGAGAGCCCCACAGCGGGGCGGGAGGAGGATGCCCACGAGCCGACACCCACCTGAGAGACCCCCAACATCCATTTTCTTCAGGTTCTTGGCCTCCAGGATGCAGACAGTGAGTTTCCCAGCTGTGGGCACGTACCGGAGGGAGATGCAGATATCTCCTAGCTTCTCTGGCTGCCAAGCGGAGCAGGGAGCAGGTATCAAAGCCTTGCCAGTGCATCATACCACAGTCCCCACATGCAGGGGTCCCGCATGCAGGTCCCCAAACCCTACTCAATCTTCAACGCAGGCATGAGCTGGCACCCCGTGCACTGGCACAAGGTTTGATCACTTACGTCTGGGGCAGGCCAGTCCCAGCGCAGCACCCAAGACATTCACACAGCGGAGCAGGGAGCAGGTATCAAAGCCTTGCCAGTGCATCATACCACAGTCCCCACATGCAGGGGTCCCGCATGCAGGTCCCCAAACCCTACTCAATCTTCAACGCAGGCATGAGCTGGCACCCCGTGCACTGGCACAAGGTTTGATCACTTACGTCTGGGGCAGGCCAGTCCCAGCGCAGCACCCAAGACATTCACACTCCTCGTTTTTGTTACAAAAAGGCTTTTGCACAGGGCAAGAGGGGCAGATCTTGCCCAGCGCTCATGGCCAGGACATGCACGGCATTCAGGTGGGACCCCACAGCGATCGCCATCCCGAGCACTGTGGGATGGTCCAGAAAGCAGAGCACATCTCAACCCCCCTGGCCAAGGGTTTCAGCTGGCCAAGGGCCTTGCACCAGCCCTGCTCTCACCTCCTCCTTCTCACCACTCTGCAGGTCCCGCCACTCCTCGATGGGCTGGCCCAGGTCCACCGTGTTCATAGGCACCTTCACCTCGCCGATGATGTCGTGCTTGGAGAAGCGATCAAAGTCATAGATGGCCATCACCAGCGTCTTCCCGCCCAGTTCCTGGTAGGGGACCTGCACAAAGAGGGCCATTGGGCTGGCAACGGGCTCAGAGGAGCCCAAGCCAGGACCACCCGCTCCCAGCAGCAAGGGTGAAAGTACAGGACCGGGACACAGTCAGGGGAAAGACGGGAGTGTGAGACAAGGTCCCGTGTTGTGGGTAGGAAGGGGCTCACCTTGAAGGTGAAGGTCTCGTTGAAGGCAGGGTTGAGTGTCTTCTTCTGCACTTTGGTCTCGTATTTTTTCTTCTTGTCAGGGAGCAGAAACACCTTGACGTACGGGTCTGAGGTGCCACCCATGTCCAAAGCTGGCAGTTCGGCAGCTTGGAGGATCCCCACTGTCAGCTGGAGCGGGGAGAGGGGTGTCTTCAGCGAGACGGCCCAGCTCCACGCTGCAGATGCCAAGGGCTTGTCTCCAGCCCAGCGTGGGGCAGGACTCCCCATGGCACAGCACCCACCTCCCTGCTCCCTCCTGTGCTGCCCAGGTCCAACAGGGAGATTTCTCCCAAATACCCTCCCTGGGCAAACCCCACTCCCCATCTCCTCAGCCGAGCCCCTCCATCACCTGGTTCGCCTGGAAATCATAGTCCAGCGAGAACTGCAGCTTGCCCAGGTTCTCCGGCTCCTTCTCCTCCTCCTCGCCTTCCCCCTCCGTCAGACCCATCTCCGCGTCATCGTCATCCTGTTGGTCCTGGAACGGCAGCCAAGGTGCCCGGCTCAGCGGCAGGGTCTCAGCCCAGTGTCCCTGTCCCCACACCGCTGGGGACCTCCGGCACCCCAACCCTACTGGCTTCCCAACCCCCCAGGTTCTCCCCATGACGGGCAAGGAGACCCCCCGCACTGGGGACATAAAGCAGCGGTGGAGCAGCCCTGGGGTGGCACCGGCTCTGCCCACCGCCACGCAGCTGCCAGGG